CCATCACTTGGCCAGAAACATGGCAAAAAGAAAACTGTGTTTTCATTTTCCATTTACCCAGCTGTACTCATTGGCTACTGAATCAGAAACATGTACTATCAATTTTGTATTTACAATTGCAGGCTTTTTTTCCAAAGTGCATTCAATGCCACTTTCATGATTTTTCTTTGTTATAATATACACTTATGTGGCCTTTACACATACAAGAATATCAATAAGACTGTCAGTACAGTCTGACAGTCTTGTTGCTATGTCGCAGAGAACAACTAAGATTAGTAGCTAGGTCTGCTAGCTTGATATTAGGTATCAGCCATTACCTTTCTTTTGGAATGCATTGGCTAACGTGCCAATTTATCACAAATTTTCAACAATAAACACAAATAATCAGACAATACTGACTACATAGAGTAGATTAGATATTAGAATGATGGCACCAATGTCTGAGGAAATTAGAACATGCACAGCCACTTTTATTATTGAGTGTGGAGTTTTTTGCTTTTTACCATACCTCAAACCAAAAATACAGAGTCAACACAAGACATTAATGTTCATGTGCACATTTCAGAAACTGTTGAAAACAACCACTGTGGCTTTCACTAATAGATAACTGCATAGATATTCGACATCTGAGCTGGAACAGCATTCTGGTGCCAATGTTGTGATGAATTGTGCTACATTGCTGAAATGTCCTACTGTAGCACATATTTATAGGCAGCACTTTACATAAAACTGTAGGTAGGATATTTTGATAGCCAAAATCACCTTATCAGAAAATGCTACCAGTATTGAAATTATAGGTGGGATATTTTAATAGCCTAACTCACCTTATTAAGGGAAGTAATACCAGCTAGCTGTGTCTGTATAATACACTCAAAGTATGGCTGAACATTAAAAATGCAATAAAACAAAAATCAAGATTACTAAACTGCACTAATGATGTGCATATGCACAGTAGGATGGCTCGATGGGTAGGACAAATTATTATAAAACCAGCCCATTTCTGTCTCGGGTTGTCACATGCACACAGTGGCATTCAAAGCTGTCATTGGCCTGTCATTAGTCTCTCTCACAGGTGTCCTTCAGATCTCCAGTTTGGAGGGATTGCAAGGTGTGAGTGATACTACTGGCCTCCCACTTTTAACAATGTTCTTGACTGTGGTGTATGAGACATTTTAAGTACTTGAAGTTCCTTTAAAGCCACTTTGGAGCTCAGAGTAGATTCTTTGCACTAAAATCCACTTCCAAGCAGTTGAATCCCCTTGAAACAGCTGTTTTTATCCTGAGCTGAAAATCACCACAGTTGCTCACAATTTGGAGGCAATCAGTTTGTTTTCTGCAAGATGAACCGTTTAACATGAGCAAGATTATAAATGCATTTATATTTCTTGTTTTCACACAATGAGGAGATGCAATTGCAAATGGGCGATTGTTTTCTGAATGATGTTATCTGATGTTATCTGATGATATTATGCACTCTAGAGGGTGAAATATCTAAATTCCTTGCAGTTGCTTGCTGAAGAACGTTATTTTTAAACTGTTGGATTTTTTGCTGAGTGCCGAGCCTTGACCCATCCTTGCTTATGAAGGACTAAGCCTTTTTTGGACGCTCCTTTTATACTTAACCATGTGGGCATAAACTATGTAAGATGTTTTTGAAGAATTTTACAATAATATAATCTTAAATTTCCTGTCCCAACCTTTTTTAGAACGTGCTGCAGGTATCAATTTCAGAATGAATGTATATTCACAAAAAAACAATAACATTGATAAGATAAAACAATATTTTTGTCAACAACAGGTCAAGGTAGATTTATAAATCACTGATTTATTCATTTATTTATTTATTTTTTGCATTTTACTTACTGCCCCAACTTTTTGGTAAAAGGTGCAATTTCTGAAAGTGGTGATGACTTTCTATACCCACTATACAAGCACTGTATTCTAAATATCATTCTAAATGTATTCTGAATATGAATAGGAAATGAAGTTCTAACATGGCTATATCAGGCAGGCCTATATTGGCAGGCCCAAAGTTTTACTTCACACCTCGATAACCTAAGAATAGCTCAGCCAGTTTGCACTGAAGTCCCTGTAGTTACTGAGCTCTAAGGCTTATGTAATGAGCCATTTTAAGGGGTTAAAGTGATGTTTATGCCTAAAACTAGCATTTCAATACATTATCTGTCATGTTGTGCATTACTCTGTTGCTCACAATTGTATCCTTCAGTCTCATCCGTTTGATAGAATTCCAAATTTTTTGTCTTCATGATTTTGTTCATTATTGTTTTCTCACTAGTACCTAAATATATCATGCAACCATCGAGAACCAAATCTGACTGCTAACCTAGCCCCTGATCTATTGGTGAATAGATACAACAAAGCTAGTAATCACAGAACTGTATGCTTGGATGGCATAACATCAAAGGTAGAGCAAGTGGCTAGCATATTAAATAACAGTTTTGCCTCATCCTTGGGAGTTGTTTTTGGATGTTTAATATGCCACTGAAAAATACTGTATATTTAAAAATGTGCAGCATTACAGACAAGTGGACAAGGGCAAATTGAGTATCGGTCGCATATCCAACAAAGCAGATCATAAATAGCAATTCTGTCCCTATTGAACACAAAATGGAAGCTAGAGACAATTTTGGCCCATTTTTGCTCATTTTTGTTTGGTAACAACAGCTTTTAGCTTGTCGTCCTGATGACATCATTTCAGCCATTCAAGTAATCCATTCTCTCCATCATGATGATTTGAGGACAGTTACCACAGTTATACTGCTGCAATAAGATATTCAATTTTCTAGCAGTAGCATTAGGCCTAACACCATTTCACTTTTACCATTTCAATTTTGGCCAGAGTGCCGCATTACATGCACATGCACTGACATCATGTCCAAGCACAGTGCACTACATCAGCTTTTTCTCTGGAAGTCTGTGTAGCTAGAACACAGCTAGGGTGCCTCAGTCTTTCATTTCATGAAAAACGGTCACAAAAAAGGTCCTACCTTTTGACCCGACCACTTAGCCCTTATCCCTCTGTTTTGGGCGTTCACGCCTAGGGGTAGGGTGTCCAGATTTTTGTTGAGATGGAGGGGTAGGGCGAAGTGTTAGGGCTACATGGTCCTCTAAACAGAGGCTTTTCGAAGGCACACTCCAAACGGAGTGTTATGAGCAAAAGCCAGCAAGATGGCTGCATGAGCGACCAAAGAAACACACAAATGTGAGTACTGTCTCTGTTAAAAATTGTGATTATCATTGTTTTATCTTAGCTTAATGTCGCTTTGATGTATTATGGTCCTTTTCTTCATAACAAGCATAAAAAATCAGTAGCTAGCTAGCTAAATTTCTCATTTCAATTTAAATGGTGCCGCAGTTACATTCAAGGCGACACTCGAAAACAAGGGGTAGGGGTAAAAATGAGAAATGGGATTGGGCCTTAGCCATGTAGCATCTCTGCATTTGTGAGGTAGCAAAAAAAGAAAAAATTCAAGTACCGCCCCCCCCCGCCCCCCCGCCCCCCAAACAAGTCAGAAAGGCCATAACACATTAGGTAGGCTGGTTCAGTCTTTCTTCTCATGGAAAATGGTCTCCAACGGTTTCTAGAGAGTTATTTGATATTTTACATCGTATGTGGTGAGATCTGGTTTCGTTATCTAATCACAGATAAAGAACAAATGACTCATAGCATATCCGTAATAAAGAAAAACAAAACTAGTGAGTGTATTCGTGTACTGAAGAAGCAGTAACGTTATCTGTCTAACTTCCTTCTACATTTGTAAGCTAACGAATACAAATAAAATAAAATAAAAAATTCAGACGACCAGCACCAAAAATCCACACCAGTTTTTCAATAGATCCTCCCACCTTCAAGGTACATCATCAAAAAGAGGAATTTCAAGTCTTTAAACCACAAAATCACTTGAAAGACAACTGCGTCACCACTGCATGAGATGAGTAGGCATGTTAATGACGGATGTAGTGATGGTTACTTTTTTATGGCCAGAGTGCCGCATTAACATACACATGCACTGACATCATGTCCAAACACAGTGCACCACATCAGCTTTTTCTCTGGGAGTCTGTGTAGCTAGAACACAGCTAGGCTGCCTCAGTCTTTCATTTCATGGAAAACGGTCACACTTTCTAGAAAGCAGTTTGGCATCTGGTGTGGTGTGATCTGGTTTCATTATCTAATCACAGATACAGAGCAAATGACTCATAGCATGTCTGCAATAGGAAAAATAAGCAAAACTAGTCAATGTATTTCTGTATTGTAAAAACCTACAGCTTCTTAGCAAAAATCCACACCAAAGCAGCTGTAGATCCTCCTATTTTCAAGATATGTCATCAAAGGGGGATTGCCGAGTCTTTAAACTGTAAAACCTCGCGAGAGGCTACTGTGAAGGTGGTGAGTAGGCATGTTTACAAAAGCTGTAGCAATGGTTCAATTTTTTATTTTGGTCGGAGTGTCCCATGAACATGCACTGACGTCATGCCCTAACACTGTGCGCTACATCCGTTAATCTCCACAAGTGAATGAATGGCTAAAACACATTGGCTAGGCTGGATCAGTCTTTCATGCCATGGAAAATGATCTCAACAGTTTTTTTCAGGGAATTATTTGTTCTTTAGCATCTGATGTGGTGAGATCTGGTTTCATTCTCTAATCACAGATAAAGAGCAAATGACTCATAGCATATCTGTAATAGAGAAAAACAAAACTAGTCCATGTATTCATGTACTGTGGAAACCTATGGGTGCCTCGATTTATTTATTGCTCACAGCAAGTGATGTCATACCAAGCGACGTCCTGAACAGTGGCTTCATTCAGACTGCCCTCTCCCAGTTAAGGCCCAAACAAGCAGCTGCTTAGCGACGAAGGCAAGCTACAAGCCGGCGTGTTGTTATTTGTTTGAGGAATCGGAACTATGAACATGCCAGACGAGGCAATGTGCAAAGCTTAACTTTTAATCGAATGATGACATGGACTGGTGTAATCATGCACTCATACATGAAAACATCAAACATTTATTTTACAAACAGAATAGCTCTTCAGTCAGATTTATTGCTCATTTTTTGACAAGCATCAACTTTGAAACATTCATTGCAAGGATGAAGTCAAACTGGCATGTATGATACCCCTTACAAGACATTTAAAGATATAGCTTTTCTTTGGCAAACATCTTATAGATGGGATTATCTTATATTAATATCATAAAAAAGTTAAATGCATTTTGCCTACAGGTTGCAGTTCATGTATTACAACAGCCTTGGTTACATGATAGTAAATAGCAAAAAACAAACAAACAAACAAACAAACAAAAAAAAACAACTGATTCAGTTCATAAAAATATTTTGCTCTACTTGTGACTGACAACCAAATTCTAAAACGCAGAATATTTTATACATATTCAGCCAAATGTATTTACAGTAAAAACAATGAGTTTACATTCAGGGGATTACCATGATGTTGAAGAGCACCATGCACTGAGAGAATGGCTCTGTTATTGATATAAAAAATGCTTTCTTTTATACACTTCAGGCCACAATAAAGGCCATTTAATATTTTTAGGCACATAAAATATTCCATGACTCTTACCACAAGTATGTCAAAGCTATTACAAAATTAGTGCCACAAATTAGAAAAGTGCCATCTTCCCTTTGTGAAATGTTCAACAAAAGTTAAATTCTTTGGTTACTAAATCACATATTCCATGTCCTTAGAGGACACTAGCATATTTACAAATATCTTGCATGTTATAAATTGTAAAAATCAATTACAATTCTCATCCATGTGCTCAACATATCTAATATGGCAAAACCCACTGTGAGATGAAGCACAATATCCATATTCCTAGTTATATTAACATACACAACGGGGAAATCCAAGTGCAAGTCTTGCATTTTCTCCTCACAGTCTCTAATAGAAATAGATGTAAATATCTGTAGGAATGCCAAAAATGTTAAGAGACATATTAGAATCAGGCAAGATGTAGAGATACAAAAACTTGTACTAACCTTAAACAAGCTATTAGTAAATTCAGACTCAATGCAGTTTTATTTTAGCTGAAGGCACACAGGCTTATGTAAGGATCATTGTTTGATTATTTACAGTGTATGAAAAAACGTTCTTAGCTGTATTTTCTACAACACTAGATGCTGATATCATAGAATAAAATATACAAATGTAAAAATATTAAAAAATCTAATTTTGCAGAGAAACTATATACAAAAGTAAATATAATTCACTGGCAAGAAGTGCATACTTTGCATTTAAGGATTCTCTGTAAGAACAGTGCAATTAATTACAAGCAATTCAATAAATGCACAAGGGTTTAATCAAAATGGGAACTTGGTGTCATCTGTTTAAGGTTTATTGGTTTAATTAACTCATTTAATCTTCTATTTAGGTATCAAATGTAAACAGAGGTACGGTTCATTCAAATAATCATAAATGGCTTTCCTTCAGAACGATGTGCCCATGCTTTGGAGAATGTGGCACCAGTGATCTACACAAAAAGCCATGCAGGATGAAGCAACTGTTCCAGACATACTAAAGTGAGAGTTTACTGAAGTGAGCCAGAGGGCTATGAAATATGAAATCAGAGGAGAACCAAATGGATTTAACTCATTTTATCCAATCTAAACTGTTTGTGAGGCTTTGGAGAACATAAGCCACTGACACAATGACATATGAGGTCAACCCTGGCCACATTTCATGACCAGTCAGGGCTAGATTTTGGAACCGCAAGACTGTTTAAACATCAACACACTGGTGTCCTAACAGCTGGTTCAGATGGTGTTTGGTTGTGCAGGCTATGAAGCTTATTCTATTTGGCTTCAGAAAGTTTGCAGGTCAAAAAGACTTCGTAGCAGAGGGGCGGATTACTGCTCTCCTCCTCACAGTTCAACGGATGGTGGTGGCAGTGTCTGTAAAATGAAAGATGAGCCGGGGAGAAACAGGCGCTGCAGAAGTCCCACATACTTCCTGCTGCATTCTTTCTTTATGTCTGTCCTCTGCTGTGCACGCCTGTCAGATCCTTCCTTATGATCTCATTAACTGAGGAAAAGAGACAGAGAAGAGGGGGTCGTTTAGAACATGAAAGAGGCAACTAGATAGAGCAGCATGGCGCTCATTCAAAGCTCAAGAGACACATAATTGGTACTCTGAGGCTCCATTCAAGGAAATACAACCCAGTAAAGGTCTGCTTTGTCCTTGACTCCATCGTGCAAACCTACTTTTAGGAGTTTGGAACGTACTTCCCACTTCTTAGAAAAACAGACTTTGACAAAAAGATTTTTTTCATTCCACTCATCTGTAGGCAATTCATAGGGGAAGAAAATTTAAAAATGAGAAAAGAAAAAAGGAAGGAAATATAACAGATGTTCTTATCAGAAGAATAGTTCTACCATACATTGATATCACCATACAAAACATGCTCAACACTCCAGATGAGGTCAATCAGACAAAACATGTTTTGTGTCCAAATTTGTTTCTTTAGTTTTGTGCTGGAGCTATGAGGCTCATGTAATTAACAAAAACTAAAAGTCAAGTCACCCCAATCTTTTCCATAAATACATCTCCAAAACTTCTTTCAAACCAGTTTGATGCACTGTGAGCTAAAAGAAAATGTTGAAACCTACACTGTGTAGTTGCTATGGTCAGTGTTGTATTGAATCTGGCTATGCTTCGAATGCACGCTAGATATAATCCACGATTCCTGTTGTTTCTGTTTCTGAACATATATCTTCAGTTCAAGATTAACAATTACTTAAAAGAAACAACAGAAATCAAGAACATAATCTGCATCATGCAGCATGACGTGTGTACAAGCAGTCGAATTTCAAACACCTGCGGCTGATCAGTGTTCAAATAAAGAATGAAGTTTTGTTCATTTTTTTAGTTCACAGTGAGCCATGCTGTGTCCTAAACCACAGTGACAAGTCTGTATGACCTTACCCGGATGGCCCTGGATGGGGTTTAAGTGGGATGAGAGAAGTTTTGAGGATGTATTTATGGAAAAGATTCGGATGACTGTTGACCTCTAGTGTTAGTCTCGTAGCTCCAGTGCTAAATTAAAGAAGCAAAATTTGGACACAAAACATGTTTTGGCTGATAAACTAAATGTGGAGTAAGTGGAAAACTGTGTACATTAGATTTTTTGCCAAACTCTTCCTTTACAATGAGTGGGGGAGCTCTGTTCCCAGAGGGCCTGATTCCTGCAGTTTGGCGATTTCCCTGCTCAGACACACCTGATTTAACTAAGCAGTTAATTATCAGTATCAGTCGTAGTGGCAGAACAGAGAAATCGGCAAACTGTGCTGGACATCGGCCTCTTCCCAGTCCTGCTTTAAGACATACAGACCAAACTGCACTGACCTAGGTTGACCACTAGAGGGATGACCTCTATGCTATTATGTTGCCTCAGCATGCAGTGAAGGCTCTACACTGGCAATCATTTCCTGTTCTTCCTTTGACTCCACTCACCAAGTGTGCACAAATGGAAACTTTTATGGCCTCCACATGATAAAAATAGCATCAAGGTGTGTGGGGTGGTTGATATTATCATGATACACAGGAGGGGGACCCACCACCTAAGAAACTCTGCCCTACAAGTCTGACCTAACGTAGCCATCATAAGAACAAAGCCATGTACAATTGTGTAATCAGGGAATTAACTACAATTGGATTACAACAGTGTGGTTACCCTGACTTGTATGTCATACTCTGACTACGCCAAGGGTGAGAAATACGGTAGGTCTACAATATATATAGAAGTTGTAAGTGCACTTTTTTGCGTGTGGTAAATTTCACCTTTCTTACAGTTTCTTTTGCTACTGTTTATATTCTTTTAGCACACTATAAGTTAGACACTATAAGTTAGACACTTTAAGTTAGACAAGTTAGACACTAAAAATCAAGTTGGGATTAAAAGCTTTACATTTCAAAAAATGAAAAAAAAAAGAGTGCATAGTTTGTGAACAGGTGCACTTCTTATACATTTTATAAATCTAATTCTTCCATAGCCCTAACAGCAACTTGCAAATTAAGGTCAAACAAAATCCAAGTATTTTAAATCAAACTTGATTTCACTCCACTGTGTTGCCTTTCTTTCAAAAATTGTACAAGCAAATTTTGAGGTTGTCCTTCTGCAAATTTTAAGGTTGTCCAGCTGCACATTTATTTATTCAAAGTTAATAAGCTATAAAACGTTCCAGGCTTGTATCTGGATACAATTTACAACAAGTAGAAAAGCTTGTTCATGTGCACTTATTCGTTTGTGATTTAGTTGCAAAAGCTCAGAACGTTTCTTAAGAAAACAATTTAGCATGAAATTCAAGTATGCTTTATAAATAAGGCCCCAGGTGCTGGCTAACTTTTCACCTCAAAAGGGGGCTGATTGAGTGTTGTGCTATAACTAGGGTTTAGTAGAAGTCTTTTATTATTCTTTTAGGATATTTTCAGTGTCACTGCATCTCTCTAAAGCACAACTAAATATGTCTGATTAATGAACAGTACACAAAATAAAGTGCTTTTATATCAAAAACTCTGCTGAACAGAATCTGTACAGTTCTCTAAACCACAGAGGTGCCAGCAATGGCAGATTGTCACTGAACTTAGCTGTGCATTCCCACAGTCCAAGTAGTGTCAGTCTGAAAGAATGCACAGCATGAAGAACATGTTGTCCAGCCTGATAGGCCACATCCTCTGAGTCGTGTGAGTTTTTATCAGTGCATGGCAGCTCCAGGCTGGAAGCCCTAAGTGTACCCTGGCACTGCAACACAATGCTCAGCGCCACGGCCTAGGTTTTAAGCAGCAGGATACTGTAGAGGGGCGGCACACCACACTAGAATAACAGGCATCAGACAGCAGTTCCCTTTTCACAGCTTAAGAAAATAAACTGTTATGCTGCCATAGCAGCTGTGCAATATTTATGTGACATTTGTGAGGGATGGACTAAGCAGTTAGCTTAATTATTAATCATAAATTTGAATATTTTATGGAAGGTAAATATTAATAAGTATCTTATTTAGAAGAAATGGACAGGCTTGTACAATAAGTTTAAAAACTACTTTTGACTTTAGCTTTACAAATAATGCAACTGTTCAACACAGGATTAAAATCAAATCTTAAAATCAGTTTGCCACAGTCGTCAACAGCAACATCTGTCAACCAATCACAAATCAGATGAGCAATAATGAAAGCCATTTTTGATGAACATGGTGCCTTGTGGTAAGAACATCTAAATATTCAGTCAGTTTGCTTTTTACCACTGACCTGCATGGGACACAGAGGAAAGGTACTGTAAACTGTAGCAGTTAGTCATTATCCTGCACTGTTGCCCAGACTTACAAAGTGGCATACTGTAGCTATTTTACTTTAAAACTAAGTTTATCATTTCTACTTGATTGCCCTTTTAATTCCTCACTTTGTGGAGGATGAACAGGGGCTAGCGGTTTAATAATTGTAATTTAAAAATGTTAATTTTATTAGCACTGACCAATATACGTAGCATCTGAAAGATCTATGAAATGACCAAACTCAAATTTAGTAATAATAAAGATAACAAGAACTATTATAAACTAACTACACTGAAATTGAAAATATTCATTGCATACTGTAGTATCCCTCAAATCATTCAAGTAAACTGCAATTAAAGAAAAAATGCCAGTCTATTAGCTGTTTTTTGCTGATTCTAAGCGCTATGTATGGATGGCATCTGTTTTCCCCACTGCGTCTTATCCACAGCAGATGTGCAAGGGAATTAAACTAGAAGCAGTACTAAACTGTGGACAGTAAATCTAAACATAAGGTCTTGCTGTTGCCACAGTCTCCAAATACCTGTTTATACAAGCAACCAATGGACTTCCCTCTCACAACTCACAGCTGAAAAGAAAGTTTTCATGTCTGTGACCAGGGCCACAGGATTTTCCAACGTGTAAAGAGGAGGGAGGGGAAAAAAAAAAGGCAAGACAGCTACAGTACATAGCTGACCAATGTACGAAACAGAAGGGCTATAGGGAGAGGCGTGAAGGGCTGGCATGCACTGGGCGTTGGAAGCTGGCAAAGTGAACGTGCTGACCAGCCTGTACAATGGATGAGTGTCTGGCTAGAGAGTGGAGAACCAATGAAAATGCTTGTGTATTAAGCAAAGGTGGAGAGATAGGTGGAGCTCAGTAACTAACTCAGACCATGATGTCTTTTGTGTATGCATGTGTGACTGAATGGTGTGTAGTAACGCGAGCGCCTCTGCATGCATCGTCTGTATGTGTTTATCAAATGCAGAGTAAAACATAGTGTCTACATTGTATGAAAGTGAGTGGTTGCATGTGTATGAGTATGTGGTGTCGGGGCATGACTGACCGTGAGCAGAGAAAAAAAGCCACAGAGAAGTTGCAGAAGCAGACAGGAAGAAAGTAAACCACAAGCCTGGCCACTAGACCCCTTCCCCAGCAACCAATCCTAGAGACCAAGCAAAGTAAAGGGAGCAAGCGGGAACAAGTCCTCTTATAGCAACACTTAATACATTTCATTCTGGCTATTTCAATGCTGCTGCCATACTGTCATCGTATATCAGGTGGCCAATAATATCAGCTGATTTTGAATTCCTCCAGATTTATCAGGATCTGTGGAAAAATCTGATGTGACAAGGATTTTTCCTTTCTGAGGATTTACTTACATTTATATACTTCTGTCAGTTTTTTTAGAGACTGCTTAGCTGAGAGTCACCACTTATTCACAGGTTGCATCCAAATCTAACCTTTATGAAGAAATCATAACACAACAAAATCTGAGGGTATATTTACATTGTCAGTACTTTGATGAACAAAAAATGTACATGTGCAGTAGCTTGTCTCTGTATAAAATACACTCCTGCTGCATTTTTCACTTGTGTGACATAGCTAGTTAAAAACAAAACTATTGCAGAAACACTGTCCTTTACCGGCTGCTCTACATAGCTTTTGGTTTTAAACCAGCATAAACAAGCAGGAAAACAGCAGAAACAATGCATTGAGAACCCAGAAAGGAGCAGGTTACTGCGCATGCGTTGGAGCAATATGAAATCATAGTATATTCACAACACTATACATTTTGCAAAAGCAGTCCACAAAAAAAACCCCAAAGATATAGGTTCTGAGTGTAACCCACTATACCCATCTCAAAACTGCAGCAACTGCACTGTAGAATATTTAAGGAACTGTGGCCAATTTTGATTATACTAGAAACATTATGAAATGTCAAAAACACCCTAAACAGGTGTTGAAATCATACTAAGATATAAAAGGAGAATTCAGGAAAGGCCTGGTCCTTCATAAACAACGTTGGGTCACTTGGCACTTTGCTAAAATGTATCAACAGTGTAAAATTCATGTTCCTCAGAAAGGGATTGAAAAGATTTTAGGTATTTTACCCTCTACAATGCATAATAAAACATTCAGGCAATCTGGAGAAATCACTGCAGAAAAGGTTCATGGAAATAATTAAGACTGCGTTCTGTGGGCCAAAAAAGAAAAGCACTATCCAGAGTGTTGCTAAACTTCAAAAGTCAGTCATGGTATGGGGGGTGGGGGTGGGGGGTGGGGGTGGCAGTTTAGTGGTTAACTTGCACATCTGTGAAAGCACCATTAATGCTGAACACATTTTGTAGCAACATATGCTGCCTTTTAGGTGCCGTCTTTTTCAGGGACGCCCTTGCTTATTTAAAAATAACAACACAAAGTCACATTCTGTTTGTGTTACAACAGCATACCTGCATAATCACAGAGTGTATCTGCTGAACTGGCCTGCCTGTCTCCCTTTGAAAACATGTGGCACATTATTAAGCTCAAAACATGAAAACGAAGGCCCCATATGGTTGTGAGGTGGGCACTTGTATAACAAAAGAATGGCAAAACATTAGGCTTAGACTTTTTTCTAAATTAGGCTGGACCAACTGGTGTCTTCTGTCCTCAAACCTTTATTAAGTGTTTTTTAATTGGAAAGGTGATGTAACACAGTGGTAAACTTGCTCCCACCCCAACTTTTATGGAACATGTTGCAGGCATTGAATTTGAAATGAGTTTATATTTAGAAAAAGACAAAAAGTTCACGATAAAACATACAATGCTGTGTCTCTGTGCCCTTTTCAATTTAATTCAAGTCCAACAGAATTTACTAATGAATGCTGTCTTTTTTATTTTATTTTTTATTTCAAATACTGTCCCAACTTATTTTAGAATTGGGTTTGTATTCAAGATTTTGTCAGTTTCTCCTGTTTGTTTGAGCAAAGCATTTTTTAATTAAAACTACTGGAGTCTTTTGGAGAATTTCTGGACCATGTGAAATGACACTGTCCGATATTACCAGTTTTTATCTTATTATCAGAATTTTTTAGCTCCATAAAGTCAGTAACAGTTATCACTACAAGCACATTCCATCATTCCTTTCAAAATACACTATGTTCTCTAATCAATAGACACATATCTGCAATAAACTGCTACTCTTATTTATATTTAAGTGAACATTCCCATTCTTAGCGGATACAAGTGACCTGTAACTAATGTGCACACCCTACGTGCTTTATCTAAATTATTCTCCCACTCTCCATCTGGAAGAACTTCACCTCTCCGTTGCCTCAGGGTTAGATTGTAGTCTGGAAAGGCTTTGAGGACTGTGTAACTTTGAGCACAAGGAGCCAGGCCTGTTTAAAGCCCCCACAACTGTATCCAGCCCATTTTTTGTTTATGTCATGGATAAACCTTGATGACGGGGAGAAAGGATTTGAACTGAAATCACTTGTTTGTGGCAGAAGAAATATCTGTTTATATCAACTGTGCATGATTGCATGGTTAGCAGGCACCATGTGCCCATTCCATTTTAACCTCTTGCCAGCGAGAGAGTTTACAATAAGATGCCTTTGGTTTATTGGCTTGCTATGAAGAAATGGAAACAGATTTTTATACAAAAGGGCAAGAGATGTTGGCTGGATAGCTCAGCAAATCTCTTTTGAAAAATACACCACAGGTTTGCTCATAGTGAAATGTGTAACAACACATCTTGTGCACAAAGTTTCATATCAGACGCAACCACAGAAACCTTCATGGCCCTTAGCGAAGCCACTAACGAAAAGAGTGATGAGAAAGGCACACTGGTTGACTCATATGAGAAGTGAATGTGTGTGAAGGCCTTGGAGGACATCAAATACTGAGATGTTTGTGGGCGGAACCATACCTTGACACCTCTGCTCTGACAGACATATGGGACTTTCTTCAATTCTCATCCTTCCTGTACCTAGTGACCCAGGCCTCCCCCGTACAGCAACTGCTACTGTGCCACCAGTGAACATCACTGGCCTGTCTAGATGGCGGCAGAAGTTATTTTTGAAGCTGTTTAGTGGAAGCTCATGTTGAAAAGAGTCAGCATCCACAGCCACCCTTTTAAAAAGCACTTACAACCACTCGATGAGGGAATTCCCCAATTAGCGGCTTTATGAGATTTCCAGAGTGGTGTTAAAATTCTAATAGTGCTACCAGATCCACTTGGACATGAAAGCATGTTGAACAGCAGAAATGCATTAGAGTCTCGAAGTGCCTGCTAGGATCTCCCTGATCAACACCTCATAATGAAAACATCAAACAGTTGGGGTCTGGGGGCACCTCTCACAGTAACTTGCTATTAATGTAGCAACAGCAGCTCCGTTGCTGTTTACTGAGGGAAACCCTATTAGGCCATCCAGAAGAAATTCCATCTCTGGCCCCCTTTTTCTCTTCTGCTTCATTTTTTCCGTCCAACATAGCCCCTTCCTTTTCCTGAGGACTCACAACCAATCACTATCTTGCAGAGATCGAGTTGGCTTTCTGGAGGAGCACAGCAGCTGCAAATAGGAATTCTGTGTGCCAGATTGGCAGGAGCGTGGCTGGTGGAAAAAAGCAAATCATCTCGCGGGTTCCCCTCACAGAATTGAGGGGCGTAAGGCCAAGGGGAAGCCCTGGCCAAGTATAACAAACAAAAAGGCTTTCCCCAGCTCTCCCAGGCAGCTCGTTCCACTGTTTGACAATGGTTACCATGGAACTTGTTTTGCACATCATAACAGTGTCAACATATCCAAGAAGTCCTGAACTGCTTTTCTCTTTTTTTTGGGTACCCAAGGTTGAAAAAGCTCAAGTTCCTGCTCTGAAGTAGAGCCAGTGTAACCCTAAAGCCGGGATGTCCTGAAGCACAAGGGAAATTGTGCCCCCTAAACTAGTAACTTGTGATACAAAGAATTATATTGGAATTTCATATTTTTCTATGCATGTTATCTGCCAAACCATTGTATGGCTTGGCATGCTTCCACTGTCATTACTAATCAATTGAGCTGGACACTAAGTGAAAAAGTTAGAAGATGATCTAATCTATTCTGTAATTAATCCCATCTATTATCCCTGATATTAATTCAGCCTGATGGTAAAAGGCCTCTTGTCCTAGCTGGTATCCACAGGGCAGATACATGTGAGAAAGTGAGTGAAAGAGCTGAAACAGGCTGAGAAAAAGAGATCATCGAATGGAGAGGAGACAGACCTGACAAGGACGCTTCCTGCTATTGTTTCAGTGCTGAAACAGCATGACAGTGGCCAACTGGTGATCTTCATCACAGTAAAGAACATCACATAGTTACTTCTCACCCTACCAGTACAATCCCCAGGACTGTTTATAATAAAAGAGATTTGAGTGTTCGGTAAGTGACAAACCAGTTATTTCATATTTTTTAGAACAGTTTCATCTCTGCATCTATTTATGTCTGTGCAAAATAATATCTTCTTCTTTTAAATGAGCTAATTTGAATGTGTAAACATAACATTATGCCTATAAAATATCAACCGCATATTAATCATGTTGTCTTGGAAAGTGTTGCATCTTGCTGAAATACAGTTTGCCTGGTCAAATATGGCCAAAAGAAAGTCAAGCTATATTTAAGCAGACTGTAGTACCAACAAAATAAACTTGCCAACTGTTTTAAAATCAGATGTTCTTGGTTTTGTTACGGAATATGAATATGTCAGTGATAATGGAAGCAGAAAAGCAGACCTGCTATTTATTAGCAAACCTGTAGATGACATGATGCACAGATGGGAATGAAGTAGCAAACATGTACAAGTGAGCCTTGGCCAAACATACTAAGTATGGACCCTCACCAGATGGTTGGTGTTTACAGTGTGTGACAAATAAAATATCAAATATGAAATACTTAAAACTGTGTGAGGGAGAGACCAAAATGCAACATTCTGTGCTGTACTGCTATGTATTGTATCCCATATAGACACTGAGATAAATGTTTGTTATAGTGTTTGCTCTTTTATTGTAAGGGCACCTGGTTCTGAGTTGAGTTCTCTGGAACTCCATCCTGCCCACAAATTTGTTTAACCACATGTATTCCGCAGCTGACTGCAGGGACTTTGTCCAACTGATGACAAAAGATATGCCTAACAACAAACAAAATACATGTCTAACAGACATGTACTTACCATCATCCAGGTAGGCCTGATCCAGGTTCTCCTGTTTGATGGTGACTCGCCCAGGCAGGGAAGCTCTCTCTTCCTCAGTGGGAGAACACCTCTGTGGATCAACCTGGCCAGGAGGGGACCTGTCTTTGGCAACTCTCTGCACATAGGGCTGCTGCTGGATGACGGTGGGATAATGCTGAGGGTGGGGGGCCTGTGCTGGAGCAGGGGATCGGGCAGCTGCTGCTTGAGCCCCATGCTGACTGTAGCCCTCACAGTAGATGATATGCTGATGTTCTGGGGGTGGTGGGGCAGGGGGGTCACCCCCTTGCAGTAGGTGGTGGTTGGTGGGGGAAAACTGAATGATGGAGGGATGCTGGGTAGAGGCATGCTGGCCACTCAATGGAGAAGACTGGGCTGGGGAACCAGTATGGACCAGAACAGAGCGATGCGGATCTGGCACCATGCTGACTCTGGACTGGGAGTAGACGCTGCCGCCTAAGTTCTTCTCAGCACGGGAGTAGACGATAGCGGGGCTGTGCTGCTGGAAGCGGAGGTCTGGTGGGGAGATGCCAGAGCGTGACTGCTGGCAGGACGCCAAGCTGGGTACCAGGCCACTATCTGGGTTAAGGACTGAACGTGGATTATGTTGGTAGTAGGAATGGGGTGAAACTCCCATGATCTGAGACATTGCAAAACCCATTTGTCCAGACTCATACTCATCCACTGGCTCTGTTTTGATGGATGGAACTGTGGAAAGTAAAAGCATTTTCCATTGCGGTTAGGGATAGGCAATATGGCCAAAGTATGATATCACAATACCTGATAACATTTTTATTATACACTAAACGTAATGCAATACTTAGTTTTTCATACCTATGAGAACAATGCTTTTTCATGTTTTACTGTGCACTGTACATGTAAATTAAAGAATATATGGTCAGTTAAGTTTATGAACATTATCACCCTTTGTGTCTTCCAAATAAATGTTCAAATATAAAGCCTTTCTACTTAGCCCAATTCCTTTAAACAGGCATCTGAAGCAAATACATTACTATTTTTTAAGATGTATTCAGCAAACACATTTGACAGACCTTCAGAAACAGCCATTGCTAATCCACAATTGTCTATAGACTATAAATGAATGGGATTTCGAATACCACAGGTTTACACTAGTCTTTAGGATGTGCACTTTTTCCAGGGAACCATTCTGCTCCCTCAGCACATCGATAAGCCCTTTCATATGCTCTGAGCTGAAAGTAATCCCAAAGCAATTAAAACACTGTTTTAATGTTGTGTATCAGCAAAACAGTGTGTTGACTTGACCTGTGTAAAAAGAGGACCTGTACTGCATACCTGGCAGGGGTGTATATGTGAAGTGCTGAGGCTGACCGCGCTTCCTTTTCCCATTGATCACACAGAAGTTGACCTTAGCTGCATGGCAGATAGATGGATCTCGATAAGGAGGCACCTCAATGAACAGCATGTTCTGAGAAAGAGATGCATTTCCATTAGTGCTCTCTGTGGACTGTGTACACTGGCAATAGTGGACTGCAGTCTGATTTTAACTACATTTCTCCATGAATTTGCTGTCAAATTGTAATAAATGTCTACCTTCTGTTACAACCAAGATTTTACTATGAACTCTTTGGGGACTGATCATCACAAATGACTCTAGTGCATAATGTGACCTAACCACTTTTGTGAATTTCAGAAATATTCAAATACAAAGCAAAAAACACAAAAAAAACAAAAAAACAAATAGGGGCCAGGCATTAAGCCATTAAGGGGGCTTCACATCAGTAGCAGCAACTGTACTTACTGCCTGACTTTTGTCTTTGTCAACTGTGGCCTCCACCTCCCAAATTTGCTGTCCATCTAGAAAGGGGAGAGAGGGAGAGAGAGATGGTGAGGGATGTTTTATTATTATTACTATAAGTTTTAGAAGTATTGTGGGTCAACAATTTTACTGTCAAGTACTACATACGTTTTAATCAGTGACAGACATGAGTCCGCAGCATGATAAAATAGTATTGTGCCTTCAACAATCTTCAGTGGAGAAATACAGGTTCACCCAACAGGTTTGTATATGTTCTTTGGTTGTTGTGGTTTGACCTTTCTGAAGGGACACACTAGCATACCCTATTCCTATCCCTTATACCTAATGAGTCAACTCCTAATCATTGCTGTGACAGGTAAATGTGGGCGATGATTTTTCATGTTTGTCTGTCAATGCCACAGCTCGCAGATTGCTTACATCATGCCTCGCCTACCATCTATGTCCCATACAAAAGAAATGGCAGGGAGAGATTATATCTCTAGCCTCAACCACTTCCTCTAACACCTAGGGCTCACCTCAAGGCAAAGCAGCTAAACGGACAGCCTGTTAAGCCTGTGAATGTTAATAAAATCTATCCCACAGTGGGTTATTTTAAGTGGTAATTCAGTACAAAGGTGACTGAGTTAAGGCTTCTTGGAACACATAACAAGAGAAAATGGATAATGTCATGCCAGAGAACTGCCATCTTCATCCTTAGAGTCTTCAAAAACAAAATATCTGCATATTACAATACAGTATTTCCCAACCCAGTCCCCAGGGCCCCCAGATGGTCCACATTTTTCCTTCATCCCTATATGTTGTGAGTTAGTTTGGAGCAAAAATGTGGACCATCTGGGAGGCCATGAGGACCGGGTTGGGAAGCACTGCTCTAATATATAAATAAAGCTTATATAAAAAATACCTATGTAACTAACAGTGACGTCCAGGTGAGTAAAAATGCTCCCAAAACAGAACCAAATAAAACATTCTAAACAGACTGTTCATTAGGCAGTAATCATTTTTACATCCTTTTCAGCTATTGTGGGAAACCCCTTCCAATGGCTTAATATGAGACGCATATGGCTCAAATGAGTCAGCACAAGAAAGGGGGGATTCCACGCTTGTTGCCAAGTTTACTTCTCAAGATCATTTTATGATCAAGTTGCTCCATTTCACTAACGACAGGTGATGACTGCTCCTTTCTTGGCATTTTTGTTTGTTCCAAAGCTCCCTCTGCAGGAGCCCTCTTTTTCTCTTATATAATTCGCCACGGAGGTTTTCGGGGGTGGAAGCCCAGCTTGGCATACTCTCTGGCTCTCTCCATACAGCTACAGTGGTAGAAGCCAAACGAGTGCTGGCCAAAGACAGCTGTCTCCCATTCAGAGGGATTTCAGAGGCGTACTGTTCCAGAACACTTTGTCATACGGAGAAACCCTCCAAAACAAAGGCAATCCCTTTTCAATCCTTCGCTTTTTTCAAAATTAGCCATTACAGCAGAGTGAAATAATGCAGCAGGGAACCCCCGATGAAAAAATGAATATTTTGATAAATGTGAGAGAGCGAGTGTGTATTAGTACCCGCATGAAAAGAGGGAGAGAGTGAGAGAGAGAGTGTCCTGTTGAAACAGACCCCAGAGAGTTCATGTCTAAATGTCTAAAAGCTGCCCTTGTGCAGAATAGGCGGTCACTGGATTCTATGAGTCACAGCTATACACTGACAGACTAAGCACCTTACCATAGACCTGTATCCAGCCAAGGCCTCAGACACCACAGAGAACCATAAACAAAATCTAGACGTAAACCAGACAACAAACACAAACTAGACAGCACACCTTGGATACACCAGACAGCATAATTTTGGAATTTGTGAAATAAAACAAACTAAAACTTAAGAGTAGGCCATAAGTGAGTTAAAAATTGAGCCCCAACAAGAAGTGTAATAAAAAAGTCTGCACTGTATGGTTTACAAATTCATTGTTTGCCCACATTGAGAAATTATATGCAATGCTGCTAATTTCACCTGTTATGTCTGTTATGAACAGAGCTGCCACTGACCACCTGTCTAAAATGACCACAATTTGTCAAACAAAGGGCAAAGTAACAGAAGCACGTAACAGTCCATCTGTTTCTTGCAGTCAGTGCTCGTCATGCATGAATGACCATTAACGTTTGAATGCACCATAACAATGGCACCTGCAGATGACAGGCCCATTATTAAAGACATAAAGCTTCATGTAATGAAAACATTTTTTAAACCATGTCAGTAACATTTCTGTCAGTGCATTTATTATTCATTTAGATGAGCTCATAAGACCTAAAACACCTGTGAACGTGACTGCCGTGGACAAAGATTCGAAGAGGCCTGTGTGGAGGCCTGTGTGAAATAACACTGCATTGTATCAGAAATCTAAATGTCATGCAAATGTGAGTTTGGCTGATTAGGAAAGGTCACAATTCAAATGCCATTCCTGCATGCTGATATGTGAGATTGAGCTTGAGGCTGTATTTATGAATCTTTAGTCTATATAAAGTATGGTTCTGGTGTTGACTGTAATGTCTGATGTGGTATATTAGTTATCCTTAGACTATTTCTTTAATAAATGTTTGAAACACTAGCATGTGTTCAGTGTTATGTATTAGAGGACATGTCAATGTTGTCTTCTCAAAGGTCTACTTGGCCTGGTTATTCCAAACTTTATCCCACTGACTATTTAAGGAATTTCATCCAGTAGTCAAAATCAGATAGGAATGGTTTTTGGTATTATGAGCACACAAACTGCAAATAATGCAGGTGTACTGCAGTATCAACACATTATTTTTAGACACAAGAGTGATGCAAGGCCATTCAGGCTGTTGCAGAACTTGCAGATAAATGTTATCACGTGTGCAACCATAGCAAGAGTAATTATAACGTATCAGTGCCTAAACAACAGATTAGGGGTCAATCGAATATCAGCTCAGCCAATAATCAGATCAGGTATTTATCACTTTGCCCATCTTTGAAAACAGTATTTAAACTTGCCAATAAAAAGCTTTCTTGTAATGCAAGCGCAACTCTAAGTCAACAATGACTGAAAGAAACCTGGCTCAACGTCCAGCTCGTAGCTTAATGCCATGTCAAGTACAATGCGGGTAACAAACTATGTGTGCATTTACCAAAAAAACAGAGCTGCACATGTGTTCCCTTTTATACCAAGCAGTGCATTGAGGACCTGCTGAGATTGATCAGCACAGTCATTTAGCAAAAATAACAACTTAGTAAGACAACTTCAATTTTTACAGAGAGAGTCTGCACAGTTGTTGCAATGTTCTGTTAGAGTATGCTTAGGGAGAAGCTTGAAGCTTCATTTTCTTAGTTTTGTCACATCTCTAAAGTAATTTTGGATATGCATTACACACAGTGACCAACCTTCAGGATGCTACTCACCATGGGTCTTCTCAGTGAAAATCACTTTGGAGTCAGCACTGAAATTCTTCCCAGTCAGAATCATCTGCTGACCACCCAGCACTGAACAACTGTCCATGTCCTGCTTCTCAACCATGGGCAGTTCATGCGCTGACCTTTGAGCTATTGGGGAAATACATCAAGCACATAAATTACATTTCTATGACGGAATGGTGGCTGTATGATCATTACCTTTTCATCATTATGGAAGACAGTTCAGTGCATTTGTATTCCGTGGAATAGTACCTACTGCTAAGGCTTTTGGAAAAAGGAGATAGGGCTCCAACATTATGAAATGGAGTGGAGACTCTGTTCAAACAAACTCAGTGACCTCTCTGCGAAAACTACTGCCTTTTTCTGACAGACAAAGCCATTGTCATATCTCATGCCAAAAAGGCTATCATACCAAAGAGATAACATTCCCAGTAAGAATAGGTTTGCTATTGCTATTACACGCCTTCTTAGAGATCTGGGCGTGACCTAATGACAATTTAGCATCAACCAGAGATATAAATATCGAATAAAAATGGCTTGTTAGGCCCATAGTTAAATTTAACCAAGAAGTCTTTGTCCGTTGTACTTTTAAACTGCAAAACTCTGCTCTTTCTCATGGACTACCTCATTGTTATATGTAACTATGTCTTCTGTATGTTTGCTGAAACAACAAATTATATTATAATTAACAATTTAGAAATGTAAAAGTTCAAGCTAAATGGTGTAAAATGACATTTTAAACTAGATACCTAAATGTAAATGGTGGATTATTGCCTATTTCAAGTATTTTGGGAAAAATGAGAAGTTATAATATGGTAAACACTTCTTGACATGAAATTACTCACAATAGCTACTTGATCAGTGAGATTAAGTCACCGCTTTTCAAATCTGGGGCATTCTGAATATTATTATTCAGAATGCCCCTGTTCTGTTATTCACCACAAATATCTTGAATTTTACAGCTTTCTACAAATTGTTTAAACCTAAAGAATGTCAGTATCATATTAGAACTGTTTTATTTATGTATTTGTATCTGGTTTATATTATTCAAAACAGTGATTCCAAACTTTTTAACATGTGTAACTACAGCTACTACAAGCACAGCAAGTGAAATTTATGCAGTGTAAAACTGACTGGTAATCTTGCGTTTTTACTAGCTGCCATGCTACAGGATGCTGAATCAACCCTTAATGAGTCTGAGAACTTGATCTTATTTTATCATCAGCAAATGCATGCTGTTAACTGCTGAAATCATGAAACCATGAACCAGCTTCTACTGTCTTATCACCTCACAACTCTGATTCAATATCCGCTGAGGCAAAGGTAGTTGAACCAAATAACATTGACCTTTGGACAGATGTTTAAGGCTCGCTATGATCTGAATCAGTCAGGTGAGTAATACTTCGGTAACAGTGTGGTTAAGCACAGCAGTGACACCGAGCTTTTTTTGACGGCCTACCTGCATGGGACGACTACGAAAACAGCAGACTGTGTTATCTAAATGATACTTTATTCAAAAGCCTCAGGTTTGCATCCTCCTAATGATTCCTGACTCATAGAGCATGTTGAATCCCGTTTAATGTCTAATTCACATCAAATGAACATAAACATGAAATGCATAACCATAGAGGAAGTATTCTGGTCAGACCCTGCCTTTTCCGTATTGACATATGATACTGCAAATAAGACCTTTCAGGAGTATATAAAACAGAATCCCTACTGACCTATGATGACAAAATAAGGCAATAACTTTTACCAAAGGCTGGTCTATGCACAGTCGCCCAGTGTAACATCAGTTATTGTATGGCACACACTGATTAATAGTTATGGACAGAACAAGTTGAGTTAATTATTACTCACAACACTCAATTTCATGTGATGCCACCTGGAGAGACAGAAATTGGCCTCCTGGCTGGGGTATGTGTACACGGAAAACCAGCCGTACACGTGTATTCTTCCTCCCAATGTCTGTCTCGCCCTTCCTCAGCTCTATATCAGCATTCCTGAGCTTCAGAATCCCAGCACAGTCAATTCTAGGAGACAGTCACCAAAGGAGGTGAGTTAACAGCATGATCAGGGCATACATATTTCTTCTAACATGCAACTGAAAGAAGCTGTCTGGAAACACATATGTTCTCACATTGCTTTCATGTTGTTCTTTGGCTCTAGAGGGATCTCAAGGACCTTGGTGCTGTTGATCATCTTCTCATAGCTGGTGGTGGTCACAGTCTTGCCCGTAATGCGGTGCACCTGGTAGAAGGCGTGAGGCTTCAAGATCCGCTCATCTGCTGTGCCAATGAAGATCTGCAAGCCCAGTGGCTCTTTGCCTCTGTATCCAAGCAGCTAAGGAACAGACAATCAAAGTATAGTACTTCAGTCTTATTTACTCTTACTGAAGGTGTTTGTTGATGGTTTTTAAAGAGTACCTAATCATTTCAGTTTAATGTATTCAAAATTTGTCTCTACAGGCTTTATATTCGTATGACCTGTTTTATATACCTGAGACTTACATACCTAAAATGCTATGGCCTACACTAACGCTTGCTGTTCTTATGAAACTGCTAAGCTTACTTGCCAAACCCTGAAGAGTAGGAACCATAGGCACTAACAGTTTAGTGCAAATACACAAATAACCTCACAAAGTGCAAAGGAGACCCTTTTTAACAACACACCAAGATAACTGACATTTCAGATACACAGATGGTCCTGCACCCTTACCTTCCTCTCCCTCTGAGAGTGAAGGGTTCTTTCCAGTGTACTAATTTAGCCCTAGTTTTGCTTGCATGGTGGAACAGAGACACTGCTGGAAACATTAGTATCTCCTGCAACCTTGAATATCAGCCAGCAGGGCCTGTGCTGTGTTAGAGGCCACAGATGTTTTATCTTTGCCGTTTTGCTTCTCTCAAAGACCGCAGGAAATCCATCAGTCACTAGTGATGGCTCCTCAAGAAAGCTCTCACTGACAGCCATACTCTGTCTTGGCTGCTTCCAGTTTGAAAATTCTCATATATCAAAACTTCTCAATTGTGCCAATCTATTACTAGTTTTTGATATATTTTACCGGGAATAACCTATTAAAAAAGTTTATATAACTAGAATGAAAAAGAAGCACTCTTTATATAATATGCTATGGACTTGGGTTCAGCCTGGAGGATAGGCATGTAAAATACTAGTTGACCCAGTTGAAGTCTACAGGTCTAGTAGCAGAGAAATCATGCCATGAGAAATGTCTGTACTTGGATATTAAACTGTCTTACTGGTAATACTCTCTGGTAATAATCTTACTGGGCTATTTACAGGTGCACCAGTTGAAACACTACGAATGAAATGCTTTTTCTTATATGCCCTGTTTTCTTAAGGTAAATAATTGTTTTTCTTTGTTTGACACAAAGGCGAACAGGAGAATTTACATATGCAAATCATAGCAGTTCTCCCTGCGAGAGACAGGGAAACCAACTATGACCTTATATCTTACATGAAGACAAGACAGATGCAGCAGTTAGACAGTGGGTTTATCAGACTAGATCATTCCAAATTCACTTAGCTACTGCTTAAAGAAGTGGACTTTGAAATATCGAGGAGAACGAGAGGAATAATTTCATTCTAAAATGCTATATCTCCATTTGTAACTATTGGATATAATGAGTTTCAGAAAAGAATAACAGCTTAAGTAAAATAGAAAACATACTTTTACCTTATTAATTAAAATACAGAATATACATTTCTTGTATGTGTAAAGTCCACTCCCAACAATGTAGATCATGAAAAAATAAGAAAATTTGCAAAAGTGTTCTATTATGTGGTTTGAAAAAAAAGTGTAATTAATTAGTTTGGTACATGAGATTAAAGTCTCTTGGATTCTGTTTTATTTTATATAGGAAAGACATTGAAATCATGCATTACTAACCATAAAAAGAGGAATAAGGACAAAAATATCAGACTTATCATTTCACTGAAAGTAATCAGGTGTACTGCGATGGACTGGCGACCTGTCCAGGGTGTATCCTGCCTTCCGCCCAATGACAGCTGGGATAGGCTCCAGCACCCCATCGCGACCCAGAAGGATAAGCGGTTTAGATGATGTATGTATGTATGTAATCAGGTGTACCCTGCCTCTATCCTCCTCTATAGAACCAACCCATGTTTTTATGTTGTACTGAATAAGTAACATAAAGTGCTCTGTTTTAAGACTCCTCTACAGCTTTAACTGATAAATTAGCTCATCCATCACATTACTATTTTTGCAATGCGTGATCTGATGGTCTATGAATAGTAAAATGTGTTCTATTTGTGCACTTATTTTTTTACTGTGTACTTACTGGAATAATTTTGGCACTTTTATGATCAAAATAATACAAAATCACTCTGTTATTGAGCATTTTGCTGTGACGTAGCGTGTAGGGACACATAATGAAGTTATGCTTCAATCCAACACATCCATGTCACTGACCAAAACAACAAGCTCCTCCTTTTCGTGCTTGATTCATAAAAAAAATCTGAAAATTCGGAAACACCAACACTGAATTCTGAGAAAGACGTGTACAGTGGAATACACACACACATACACACGCGTACACACTAACAAGACAAATTAGATCAACGCTTAAAAAAAAAACCAAGAGACTACATCGGAAGGAAGTGTGCAAAAACCACAAAGCATGAAGAAGCAACTAAAATTACCCAACCCCCTAAAAGCAAAAATGAACAGGGGTTAAACAACTTGCAAGTATGTTAAAAGAAATCACATATCAATAAAGTACTGGACTCAATTTAAAAAACTGAAAAATCAGTTGAGAATGGCAAAGAGAGAGAATAAAATAAACTGGCACTTAGGAAAGATGTGAAATATCACACTTAATAATGGCATTCTTGCTTACATGATACATTCTAAAACTCACTGTGAATTAAACTGCAACAAGACAATATCAGGCAGTGTTTGTGACTGCAAAAGCAACAGTATTATTTATTTTGCAAACACCCACAGTAACTCAGCTGCAACTTTTCAGTAACAGTGGCATACGTCAAGATCAGCTTAGAATTTACTATGTAGTTAAAAAGCCGTAAACACTGGCTTTGTACATGCAAGCCTCTAAAATGAGCTCTCAGAGCACAGGTGACAGCAGCTCCTCGGCGTGAACTGAACAAACACTGCCATTTGCACGGGCCATCTGAGAACCTGGTCGCCATGGGAGCAGGCAAGCTGTGAGTCAGAACAGAGGTGGGCGAAGTAAAAGCGAGGCGGGAGAGGCAGAGGCAGAGTTCCGGCGGCTCTGAACAACTCCCAGCCTCACAATTGGCTTGCAGCGTGCAGCCTGGACCGTGGTAAGAGCAGGAGAATGGAAAGCCATAAACATGCTGGCTTTGCCAAGGCCTGCTGCAATCTATACCAGAGTCGTGACATCGGAAGCATGCTAGCCACTCTGCTCAGAAGACCAAAGACAGTTTACACTGGGTGAGAAAAAAGAAACAGCAAGAGAACTTTCAAGTAAGCTGTTGCTGAGGGAACACCAAACTTTAAGGAGTAAACAACCTGAAGATCAAGATATTGGAGAGGTGGACCAAAAAAAGGTTGCCAGGATGTGAACACACAATCTCTCTAGCCTGATCTCCATTTGGAGGAATATGTTAAACATTTTATGACACCTTGCCTAAACCACACGTTAAGAAGTGGCAAAATATTTCCAAAACAAACTGAAGTAATTCCCTGTAGTCCTTTAAGCACTTGCATACCATATTTGCAGCCCACTGCATTGTGACTACATGCACAGATTTGAGTTAACAACGGGTGAGATATAAATGAACACTAAACGAGCACACGAAAAAATCAGACTGACATTTCCATAACCCTGACCCGAGGCAATGTCACTTCATACTGCATAATGACAAGGAAATACCACCACACGCAAGGGCTGCCAGAAACAACACCCACCTGGACCACTGGGTGACCCCCAGTGGGAGCTTTGACGGCCCCACGGCTGCCCTCTGTTTCGTAGTGGGCTCTGTGGTGGGGTTTGGGCTGCACTTCAATGTGCAGCTCGTACTGGTCTGTGCGGCTGGGCAGAGGCCACTCCAGAGGGGGCAGGGAGGTCACGGGGATGCTAAGGAAGAAAACAATGGAGATCCAAGCAGATTTTTCACTAAAAATTCACAAAACATTCACAATGTATTTCTTTACCAAAAGAAAGAACACTTACAGCAATGCAATGATGCTACATGGCTTTTATATAAGCCTTGATTCATTTTAATGACTACAAACCTGTCAGAAATTCCCAAATTTGAGTACACAATCTTTATTGCTTATATATATATATATATATATATATATATATATATATATATATATATATATATATATATGCACATCAATGTCTAGAATGTGGATGAACCAATGCCATGAACATATTTTTTTTATTACCAGTTTTATTATCAGTATCTGACCCCTACACATTGTTAGATGCAGTGTTAGCACCAATGTTTAACTTTCAACTACCTGCAGATTCCAGGCACCAACTGCTTGGGCCAGATGGAAGGAATGACAAAGAAGGGCTCAGATTTGGTTTTGATGTCTTGATCACACGACACCAGGTAGCTCTCAGCATGGTTGTCTGGGTAGAGAGTGTAAGGCTGCTGGTTGGTTTTGACTATCTTGGTGGGTACTGAACCAGGTTGTCCAAACCCGTTAATGACCTCCACCAGGTTACTGGAATTATAATGGCTGCTGGGGTGGTGGTCATCATGGCCGCCATGGGGCGAAGGGCTGCGTGAGCGAGGCCCAGGAACCAGGCTGGGGTTTCTGTACATGTCGTAGGTGCGCTTGCCCTGGGGGGAGGTGGAACGAGAACCAGGCCGGGGGGAAGGGGAGCGGCCCAGGTAGCTGTCCTCAGCCAGACCGGTGTGTGGTGAGGTGCCTGGGCTGGTTCGTGGTGAGCCTGTGTGGATGTTTTGAAGGCGAGGACACAGCTCCCCACTCACTGCCTGTCCACTGCTGGGGGACACGCAGGGTGAGGCAAAGGGGGAGTAGGTCTCAGAGTGCCACGAAGCAGAGGAGTTACTGCTGGCTGGGCTAAGACAGAGAGGCTCACGGTAGATTGTGGTGTCTTGGCCGGGCACAGTGAGCGTGGGTCTAGGACTGGTGTTCACTAGGTGGTTATGGAGCGAGTCATGGCCGTGGTTGTAGTGCTCGCGGGACGGGGTGATCTCGATCCTTGGACTCAGGGCTTGGCCGCTAGGCCTGGTGTGCGCCAAGTAGTTTTTAGCCTCCAGCTGCTCATAACCAGAAAGAGCCTCTGAGCTGGCCTCAGTGTACGGGGAAGGCTCCTCCAGGGGGTATGGGAGGCTGCTGGGGGTGCTGACGACCTTGTGTGGGGGAAGATCGATCTCATCTAAAGAGAGACAGAGAAGGTCATGTAGAGAGGGTCAGGGAACCTTAAATGGAGAAACTTGAATGGTGTTGAATGGTGGTATTATTTGCTTTGACATGCAGCAGCCACCAAATCAAGAAATGCTTGATTGCATGATTCAGACAATTACAAAAGTTCTTCATGTTTCTAAATCAGTAACATCACACCAAAAAGAAGCCTAAAAATGCATAGGAGGAACAGCAAGAATGCAATGAGGAACAGCTGGCCACAGGGTCTGGTATTTTTTGAGGAACCATCTCAGATTAACTTAAACCTGCCAAGGTGATATTGCATGAATCCAGGAACTCAGCATGTAGAAAATGCTCCATTACTGAGGAATGCTACAGATGGATATATTTCCTGTTTCACAGATATACACTCACTGAACTCTTTATCAGGAACACCTCTTTATATCTACACTCATTGTCCATTTTATCAGCTCCACTTACTATATAGATGCACTTTGTAGTTCTACAATTACAGACTGTAGTCCATCTGTTTCTCTGCATACTTTGTTAGCCCCCTTTTACCCTGTTCTTCAATGATCAAGACCCCTATAGGACCACCACAGAGCAGGTGTTATTTGGGTGGTGGATCATTCACACCATTGCAGTTACATGTCACTGCGGTGGTGTGTTACGTGTTGCACTGGTATAGTGGATCAGACACAGCAGTGCTGCTGCAGCTTTTAAACACTGTCCACTCACTCTCCACTCTATTAGACACACCTACCTTGTTGGTCCACCTTGTAGATGCAAAGTCAGAGACAATAGCTCATCTGTTGCTGCATAGTTTTTGCTGGTCATTTTCTAGTCTGTCATCGGTGGTCACAGGATGCTGCTCACAGTACTCTGTTGACCAGATATTGTTGGTTGGTGGACTATTCTCAGTCCAGTAGGTGTTTAAAAACTCCAGCAACACTTCTGTGTCTGATCCATTTATAATACGCCATCACCACATCAGTGTAACTGCAGTGCTGAGAATGATCCACCACCCAAATAATACCTGCTCTGTGGTGGTCTTGTGGGGGTCTTGACCATTGAAGAACAGGGTGAAAAGGTGCTAACAAGGCATGCCGAAAAACAGATGGACTACAGTCCGTAATTGCAGAAATACAAAGTGCTCCTATATGGTAAGTGGGACTGATATATATAGACTCTCACTCTCACTCTCTCTCTCTCTCTCTCTCTCTCTCTCTCTCTCTCTCTCTCTCTATCTATATATATATATATATATATATTTAATATTGACTACAGGTTAAACTGACTGAATTCCATGTAAAAATCTGCAAAAAGAACAAAGACTAAAAGTCACTGAGCGCTTATATTATTAATTATATTTTTTTTACCACTAACAAAGCCCTGATTCTCATGAGATCAGCAACAACAGAGAAACATTTTAGAGGCATCCAAACCTTTAGGCTCTCCCGCGGGAAAAGTCGCTGCAAGGCGGTTCATAGTCAAACAGGTATTCAAACTCCAGCTCATCTGGGCAGCTCACTTGACTGAGCTCTCCCGCCAAGCCTAACTCACTGCAGTCTTGATCTTTGTAAAAAGAGCTCATCTGTCCCAACCGGCGCGGCTTAAAATAGGACCATGAAATAAAAACCGAACTGAAAGTGAACCGAAGCAAACTAGAAAAAGAAGAAGAAAAAGAAACAAGAAAACTCCACGCAGCGCCTAAAGCCGAAGAACAACCTGTGGAGGATAGTTAGTTTACTAGCGCCGTGTGAGACCGTGATGTGGCCGTGACTGGCAGCCTGAGCTTCCGCCCTCTCTGCCACACCACCGGCCTGAAAGGCGTGTCTGTTTTTTCTCTGCCCGATAACTAATGACAAACAGAAGCGGTAGACTGAGGCCTCCTGTTGATAGCTCACAGTTATGATGAGGAACACGGTTTCTTTCTCACTCATACCTTTCAGGCTGCTCGTCTCGACTGTGACCCTGCGTACTGCTGCCCCCGGGTGTCCGACACCAAACATTGTTCTTTACAGACGGCGCTGTGAACCGTCATTAATTATCCCCGAGACGTTATGAATCATTCTGAACCGCGTTTAACCTGCTGTGAGCAACAGCCACATCGACAGCATTCAACTATACAGCCACAGTACTTAAACCACCAGATCAGCAGCTGCTGACGTTGCTCTGCTGCACCTCGTAGAGAATAATTTGACCTCAGACTCTAATAACACTGACACCTCGGAGCAGCTGGACGTTTTACAATGGAAGCATATAAAAACAGGAGAACCCTATATTCTCCTGTCTCCTTCTAATGGATATACTATTCCTTTAGAACAAACAAACTAACAAGCATGCACACTCAAAAAAGTTGGTTCTTCAAGGGTTCTTTATAGCAGGCAATGGTTCTATGCATTTCATGCTTAAATGGTTCTTTGCATGGTGAAATGGTTCTTTAGATTGATGGAGAATGTGTTGTATATTTTTCCATATAGAACCTTTTTGGAAATGGCTCTGTACTCTTAAAAAGATGGTTGTTCAAGGATAAAGTTCTATATATCACCAAAAAGAGTTCTTCTATTGTTACAAATTTGACATTGTAACAATAGCAGCTCCCCTTTTGGTGCTGTATAGAACCGTCTTCAAAAGGTTCTATAAAGAACCACATTAATCTGTGGAACAATTTCACCATGCAAAGAGCCATGCTTCTACATAGAACCCTTGAAAAAACCATCTGTTTTAAGGGTATACATAGCACCAAAAAGGGTTCTACTATTGTTACAAGCCTGACATTGTACCAATAGCAGAAGCCTTTTTGGTGCTTTACTGAACCATTTTCAAAAGATCCTATATAGAACCATATTAATCAAGAACATCAAGAACAATTTCACCATGCAAAGAACCCATGCATATGGTTCTTTGAATGTTCATGCTTCAACATAGAACCCTTGAAGAACCTTTTTAAAGAGTCTACATAGCACCAAAAAGGTTTCTGCTATTGTTACAAGCTTGACCTCGTAACAATAGCAGAACTGCTATATAGAACCATGTTCAAAAAGGTTCTATACAGAACCATATACATTCTCTATCAGCAAAAGAAAAGACCCATTTAAGCATGGGGTGGTTCTATATAGAACTCGTGGTTCTAAAGAGAACCAATGCCTTTGCTAAAGAACTTGGAAGAATCATATTTTTTAAAAGTGTTTAGTCGAGCGTCACATAAGCTCTGTATATCACAGTACTGCTTGAGTCCCCACCCCCCTCAGATTAAGCGCACCTGGATCCGCAGCATGTCTCTTTAGACGGACGGCTGTCAGCAGGTTTGTTCTTAGTCCAGAAATAAGCCTCATTTGCTCGGCGCAGTCGCTCAAGTCTGAGAGTGATTCTTCAGAGAGAAACGCTCTGTTTTTCCGCCGACTTTTTAACAGGCTCCCTCACGCGTGGGCGTTCACCGGCCTATAAAAGCGAGGGCTTCCCTGGCGGATCCTCCCTCTGAAATCCCGACCACACGGAGCTTCAGCTGAGGGTGAGATACTGAGCAAAACCCCTAACTAGCTCGTTACCCCGCATAGCTGTAAAGCTACCTGCTGGCCGCTCTCACCAGAGAGCTGCAGGCAGCTGACAGCGCTCTGTAGTACTTAATTCAACTCATACAAAGTGGCCACATCCTTAAAGAGCAAGACTGAAGTGTGTCAGTCATCTAAAAGGCGTTGAGGGTAAGTCACACAGCCGGACAGGACCTTTAACGCATCATATGAACATTTGCCTGTCAACGGTTTGCATTCACAAGCGTTTAAGCTGTTAATATGTAAACAAAAGTCAGTTTATAGAATTCCTGTCATATTCGCACAGCGACAGAACAAACTACAAGGCATCACATACTGATTTTACACATTTAATTCAGGCAAAAATGTTAAGAAAATCTGTAAAAAAAATCAAATACGTTGATTACCAGTTTAATCACAACACTTCAGCACGCGCCATCCATACCTTGATCCATCGACCTCATGCTGTGGTACTGTGCCAACCTCCAAGTATCTCTAAACATTTGGAAAAGTAAAATAAAAAAAAAAGTAAACGATTACAAAAATAAGTCGGTCCTACAGTTCATAGCAGGGAGCGAAAATCTGAACGGTGAGGAAAGTAAAAGCCGAGTTTTCCGAAAGAATGGAGCAAAACAGAGAAGAACACCAGTTACTCCTGAAAAGTGTTTAAAAATAAGAGTGACTCTGAGGTAAAACTGCTATGCCCTGCTCGGAGGCTGAGTGGAGACTCGAGAGCGGCTTCCTTCCCCGCTCTGCCTGTTTATAATGGTCCAATGCTGTAAAATAACGGGATTCCCTCAGTGTTTCCTCCTGTTTGTGCGCTTCGCCATGGAAACCTGGAGCGGCTCCATGTCGGAGACTCGGGGCTTTTCCTGCGGAGCCCGCGCGCAGGAATCCATGACGTCTCGAGCAGCGGCGCGCGCGCCAAAAAAGCCCGTTCTCTGCGGCTCTCCTCTCAGACACAAGAGCTTCATTGTGGGTCCCAGAGAAGAAAAATCAGTCAGAGAGGAGGAGGAGGGGGAGAAAAATGAAAACAGGAGCCGTGTTTGAATAGGTATACATTAAAGAACGCGATGTGGGTGAATCCAGGGGGTGCAGGGGGTTTCATGATAGAGAAAAAAAAAACAGTGGAAAAGTCTGAGAGAAAACTGTGAGGGAAAAGAGGAGAAATATGACTGAGTCTGGGAGGGAAAATTTGGAAACGTTTAAAACTACGTGTGACTGAATCTGTTAGAGAAAACAGGAGAAGCGCCGTGATTGAGACAGAGAAAAGAGGAGAAATGCTGTGGTTTAGTCTGTAAAAGAAAAGAGGGAAAGTGCTGTTAGAAACACTGCTAACGCGTCGAAGACGGAGCCCAATTTCATTGATTTCAAACTTTCCATTCGTGGCAGCCGTTTCCTAATGGAATTTTTTACACTTTGAAGGGGGCAATGCGACATCTGGAAAAGGACCTGTAATGTTCAGACAGCATGGCCTGTAGTTACAATCCGACGGTTCTAATTCTGACAGAGTAGATATAATGTAGGGAAAACTATATATGATATATATGAATTTTAAATAAATGACATTTAATAGCATATATGGATTTCCCTTATATGTCACTTATGTTAACCACATATGGACACATACGTGACACATATACCAACATATTTGAAATTGGCTATTTTTAAAATATGGGCATATATTTTAGTCATGTATCAACATATATTGAACAATATATAATAGAAAGCATTAACCTCTTAAATGGCCAGGGCCCACTAGTAGGCCCAAAGTTTTATTATACACTTCTACGAACTAAGAATTGCTCAGCCAGTTTACACTGAAGTCTCTGTAGTTACTGACTTATAAGCCTTAGTACGTAATAAATCTGGGATTTTAAGATGGATGGATGGATATGCTAGCTACATGTTGCATAGTATTAGGGTTTTTCTTTATTGCATTTATGTTTCTGGTATATTTTATTTTGATTTTTGGCTTTAACCCCTTAAAATCCCAGGCTTATTACATACTAAGGCTTATTATTCAGTAACTACAGGGACTTCAATACAAACTGATTGAGCTATTCTTCAGTTATAGAAGTGTGTAATAAAACTTTGGGCCCGCCGGTGAGCCCTGACCATTTCAGGGGTTAAAAAAAGTATTTCAGTGTTTGTATCAGACATATGTGTATGATCCATGTATCAGATACATATCAGACAAACAGTATATATCTGATCTATATATTATGCATGTATGTGTTTACCCACCTATCAGACATATATGTATGTCCATATATTATGCATATTTGTCCAAGATTTGATACTTATACATATGTACATAACATACATGTCTGTATATTTTTAAATATATGTCTGAGCATATATGGCCATATATCAGTATGGGAATAAGAACTATTATTAATGTTAGTCAAATAGTTTTATACATTTTTCAGTGTTCATCTAGACCAAAGGGATCCCAAAAAATAAGAGTAGTGCCTAACAAACTTTAGTTCCTATATTGGTAGATGCTGGATTTACTGCTGATGTTCTACAGGGAACTCGATACTTGAGTTTTGTGACTTGGTGCTTTTTCACTCCTACTCATGTTGTTTTTGGTAACTAATTTTATGTCTTCTTGAGTCATCGAGCACTTTTACTGTTTTGGCAGCTCTACTCCCCTCTGACGATATGATCTTAAACATGACAGTGCTTCCACGTCTGCTCTGGGCCCTGGGCCTTTGAGGGGCCAAGTCAGCACTGTAAAAGACAATAATGAGCTGCACAAATGACTTACTGAAGTTTACCTGGCTGAATTTACTCACTTTATTTATGGGAGCCAGTTCTGCTGACTCTTGATTTTGCTACAATATATGTTACATTCTTTAGGATATTTCATATGTGATCTATCTATATTTAGGATTAAGGTTATATGTATTTAGATTGAGTATTTAGCCTATATTTCACATGTAAATGAAGTTTTGTGTTTTCTTGAAACTTACTGATTACACACTGTTACACTTAAAATCTACTTGGACCTTCGATTTTTTCAAAAGTGCATTATTATAACTAATAATATATATTTGCCAGTTAATTCACAGCAAAATCCCCAGTGTTGGTTAAAAGCCTTCAGTGTTCCTTTAAGTCCAACTATACACCATTCTTAATAATGAGTATTGCGCAAGTTAATTTAACACAGATTTTGCTGTTTGTTAGTAGGATTTAGATTTTACAGCTTTCAAAATAAGATATAAAGTTTTCAAAATAAGAGTTATAACTAATTTATCTAAATATTTAGTTAATGTCCTCACACTGGTCCTTTAGTTTTTTGGCAAGTGCAGTCAGTCAGACACTGGTTGTTTAGAGAGAAGACCCTTGCCTCAAAAAATAAAAGCAATGTTAAATCCTCTAGGCTTGGGACTGAGCCCGCATGTCTGAGACTTTAGCTTAAAGTAGTTGTGAATGGTGTAATGAGGCTACATGAGTCAAATCTAAGCTCCTGAGTGCTCATATCATTGTAATATTTTTCTGCAAACTCACA